ATACCATAATCTAATTGTCATAAACAGTTCCTATACTCCGGACAGCTAGCCTTGACTACTTCCTTCATCACTTCCAACGTCGCGGACCCGTTATCCTCCCTTCCCATAGCATTTTATGATTGCAGATATCTTCATCTAATCGTCATAAACAGTTCCCACACTCCGGACTGCTCGCCTTTACTACTTCCTTCACCACTTCCTACGTGACAGACCTGTTTCCCTCCCTTCCCATAGCATCATAGGATTGCAGATACCTTAATCTAACCGTCATAAACAGTTCCCACACTCCGGACAGCTTGCCTTGACTACCTCCTTCGCCACTTCCTACATCGTGGACCTGTTTTTCTCCCTTCTCACAGCATTTTATGATTGCAGATACCTTAATCTAATCGTCATAAACAGTCCCCATACTCCGGACTGCTCGCATTTACTACTTTCTTCGCCACTTCCTACGCCACGGACCTTTTTCCCATCCTTTCCATAGCATTTTATGATTGCAGATACCTTAATCTAATCGTCATAAACAGTTCCCACACTCCGGACAGCTCGCCTTAACTACTTCCTTCACCACTTCCTACGTGACGGACATGTTTCCCTCCCTTCCCATAGCATCATAGGATTGCAAATACCTTAATATAATGGTCATAAACAGTTCCCACACTCCGGACAGCTTGCCTTGACTACTTCCTTCATCACTCCCTACGTCGCGGACCCGTTTTCCTCCCTTCCCATAGCATTTTATGATTGCAGATACCTTAATCTAATTGTCATAAACAGTTCCAACACTCCGGACTGCTCGCCTTTACTACTTCCTCCGCCACTTCCAACGCCACGGACTAGTTTCCCTCCTTTTCCGTAGCATTTTATGATTGCAGATACCTTAATCTAATCGTCATAAACAGTTCCCACACTCCGGACAGCTTGCCTTGACTACTTCCTTCATCACTTCCTATGTCGCGGACCGATTATCCTCCCTTCCCATAGCATTTTATGATTGCAGATACCTTAATCTAATTGTCATAAACAGTTCCCACACTCCGGACAGCTTGCCTTGACTACTTCCTTAATCACTTCCTACGTCGCGGACCGATTATCCTCCCTTCCCATAGCATTTTATGATTGCAAATACCTTAATCTAATGGTCATAAACTGATCCCATACCCCGAACAGCTTGCCTTTACTACTCTTCCTTCACCAATTCCTATACGTCTCGGACCTGTTTCCTTCCCTTCCAATAGCATTTTAGGATTGCAGATACCTTAATGTAATCGTTATAAACAGTTCCCACACTCCAGACAGCTCGCCTTGACTACTTCCTTCACCACTTCCTACGTCGCGGACCCGTTTTCCTCCCATCCCATAGAATTTTAGGAATGCAGATACCTAAATCTAATCGTCATAAACAGTTTCCACACTCCAGACCGTTCACCTTTAGTACTTCCTTTAACACTTCCTACGTCGCGGACCTCAAGCTAGTGTCGTCATTTGATTATTTTATGATCCATACCACCGTTTATGTTCCAATATCTGTGGAATAATGCTATCAGCTATTTATTTATCTACTGCATTCAAAAGTCAACAGCTGATCATATGTCTTTGTTTATGTGTCAAATACTGCTTCCATAAGGATTACATTGAAACTTTGAGACCCAGTGGGGCGGATTCCTGAGAGTTATTTTTAACGCCACATAGATGTTGGCACTCACCGATATGGTCTTTATCACCATCCAAAATTTGAAAACGATTGATTCAGCCGTCTAGGAGGAGTTTGCGTATTACGAAATGCATAAAAGTCGACGTATAAGAGCTTCGCTCGCTCCGCTCAAAAATACTTAGCCATGAGAAATACCACTAAATATCAATAGATATATTTTAATAAACACATTAGCTATGTAAATGAATTTAGAGTTTTCGATTTTACCATACCATACCCGCTGCCAAAAAATGACTGCTCTGAGTTCTCAATGTGGTTTATTTAAAAAATATTGTAAAAAACCTTGATCAGCATCAATGGTTTATATGTAGATTTTGACTCTATTCAGATACACGTATGTTTAATATATGTTATATATTGAATAAAGACTATTTGAATCTTGAATCTTTGAATCTCGAATGCTAGTAACTTATGTAAATTTGGTTAAATAAATGAATTATGACTTTAGAGTAAAAAAAAGAAATAGTTTAGTTTATTGAAGCGTTGTTGCATGTCTACCGGTTAAGGATAAATTCCCAAGTTATTCTTAAGGATAATAACAAAACTGTTTTAGTTTTATTGTTCTCGGATTTTACTTTAATAAAATTTGGTAATCTTTGTTTATTTCATACTGCTTAGCCAACAACTTTTCAATACAAAAACGCACCGAAATTACCTTCCCCGTAGCACCAAACCCGAGTAGGTACTCATTGAAATGAACGTTATTTAACGAGGAAATAATCTGACATTTTTCAGAAAATACGAGCTGCTATGGTAACCGAGCTTCGCAACGGGAAGAGAACGTGGTTAAATCGGATTTATAGTTTACAAATCTAGGCCTGTTATGGATCTAAGAATAAACACTTAATTTTAACACCTAACTTTGTGTGCAATAAAATTCTACACAGAAACAGGTACTTTTCCATCCTGTGGATGGAAAGTTACCCTTTGCCATGCCTACACACGGAAAAGTTACGTAATGTGTTTTTCCCGTGTACTTAATCAGCTGTTGCTGTTGAAATAAACAGCCAATTTTAGCGGCCTATCTTATTTTTTGAAATATAATATATGTTCTGTCCTAAATAAATTGTGTTATGAATGAGTTAAATATGTACTGATTTGTCTGTGTAGTATGATGTAAAGTATCGTACGTTACTCACCCGGTACGAGCTAATACCGTACTCGCACGAAAATCCCGCACTCGGCTACGCCTTCGGTGAAACACCTTACCGGGCTAGAATACTCTAGTAACCAAATAACAGTAAGTAGGCATATACTATTTGTGGTGTTTACGTTTCCTAAGCAGCCATTACAGTTTACAAGTAGTGGTTTGTGTGTTTGAAAATACTGTTACAACTCTATAATTTATTTTAAATACCCCCTCCCTCCGCAGCAAACCTGCAGACTAAACGAATTTCCATTTGCTTGATTGGATTTACATCATCTCCTTAAAAATATCACAAAATTATTCCCTAATTTAAATATAGCATTAGTTTAACAAGTACTTAGGTCTGTTGCAACAGGTAGGGTTTAAAAAAATGTTATTACATGTAGTTTAGTATGAAATAAATGCATTTTCAAAATTTGATCAAAATATGTTCATAAACAAGCTAACTACAACAGTTTACTTATTCTCCATAAGAATAAACATAGGGATTTTAAACTGTTCGAATTTTCTCCGTAACCAGTAAGCGCATAATAATGCTTCAATATAGCCTACTAAATAATTTGTTTTTTAAATCTACAAAATAGTTTGGAAAGAAATTTGCAAAATGTTATGTTGTCATTACTTTTTATGGATCGCCATATTGGCAATGGAAAGGTTAACAAAAGAATCAAAGCATCTGCAGTTTGTTTAGGTAAATTAACGCAGTTTTTACATTTCCTCATTTCCGGTGTAAGTTGCTGATACAAATGTACTACAACTCGTTTAATATTTCAAAGTGTAACAATGAACAACGTAAAATCGTTATTTGGGTTAATCTGTTTGTAACACTGCTAGCAAGTTAAATGAAGACTATGTATCTATAAGTATAAAAGAGGATGTTTGTATATAGGCTATATTTGTTTGGCAGTGATAAACTCAGACACCGCTGAACCGATTGCCACGAAACTTGGTACATACGTGTAGAATGTCATGGAATAGGTTTATTTCGTAATCCGTCCAATCGGCTCCGCCCCAGTGGCTCTGGAGTTTCCCATGTCAACTTTATGAGAAATGGAATTAATGAATCTTAACAGCTGTTTCAATTAAACATGTTGGTTCTGTTCTATGATGTTCAATAGCATTAAAGTTACAAGGATTACCAACAGGGTGCAGCACTATTATTTCTTTTACATTTATGACAACAGCTAATTTGCAACCAAAAGGTGAGTGAGCGTAGCGAACGAACTTCAACCTGGAGGCGAGTTAGCGTAGCGAACGAGCTAACCTGAAGGCAAGTGAGCGCAGCGAATGAGCTCCAACCTAAAGGTGAGTGAGCGTAGCGAACGAACTTCAACCAGGACGTGATTGAGCCATGCGAACGAGATCATCTTGAAAATTAAGAAGTTAAACGGGGCAAAGCCCGCGGGTTACAGCTAGAGGTCTCTATCTTAACACAGTAAAATATGGCTAAGGCAAGTTAACGTCTGCCGGGTTCAGCTAGTATCATTATAAATTTCAAATTAATTTCTGATTGAAAAAACGTTGGATGGATACCATAACTAACTATCCTCAAGCAAATTTTGGCCTAGATAGCAAGTTTTAACTACTTTCTTGCACGAAAAAAAAAACAGTATAATAAATCACAATACAAGTGTGAAAAATGACAAATTATTGTAAAGCCTTCATACTGCAGAATACAATTGATATACACAAAATAGTTGAGATAGCATTGACAAATTTGAAGGAGACTGCAAGCTGCAGGCGCCGTGGATAGAAGTCGTTCGGAGTTTAAAAAAGAACGACTCTTATTCTGGACTCAACCGAGCTGTTCAGCAAGAGCTGTTCACCTTCAATTTGAATCTCCCGCTCTTTGTCGATCTGTTTTGCTTGTCGACATTTTGCGTGTCGATAAAGTGGGAAAATTTACACAACCGTCCCACATAACAGACATCCCACATAACCGACATCCCACTTTACAGACATCCCATATTACCGACACTGTCGACATTTTGAGTTGTCGACATTATGGGACTATTTCAGTGTCGATCTTTTGGGATGTCGATAAACTGGGACCCCACGCTCCGGCCTACTCCGATCATCCGATTCCGATCCTATTCAGTGTTCTTCACTTCAGTGCTTCAGTCAGATTTCAGGCTGGCTGCTATTTCTTGCTACTTACTTGCTATCAGTTTTGTTTTCTTGAGTCTACGTGGGCAATATTTCGGTGGTTTGGTTTGCAAATTTCACTGAAATGTAATACAATTTTTATACAATTAGTTGAGTTTTAAGGGGGCTAATTAAAATAGGACTATGGAGCTCAAGACATTTTCATTAAATTGCAAATCTTTATTTTATTTTGTTCTACTGTCTGTTGTTGTATTTATAGTGGGTGGCGATGAACACACTCATATAGTAAGTAGCCTAGAACCTTTCTAATTTTTACTGAAAACATTAATACAATTATAGGAATATTTTAATTCTATCTATGTAGGCCTAGGCTTAAATGAAGTGTAGGCCTAAAATCTATGTTTATTGTTCGGTCAACGATTTGAATCCAACTTTTGATGTAAGCTAGGCCCTCTATATGCAGGTTTTAGATTATCCTAGCCTACGTTAAATTATTTTGCTCTTGGGCAAGAGTTTTAGTAGGACCTCGCCTATCTGGAACCTGAGTGGGGTAGGCCAAGATGAAAAGTTCTAGAGTTTTTTGAGAACTCAAGCGAGGTTCAAGCTATGAAGGTGCTCCTTAAGTTAGGCCAGCCGAAAATTTGAGATTCATACCAAGGGATTCTGAGAATGTTGTATCTTCACGACCTTAATAACTCGACGGTTGCACTTTAGCTTACGTTCTACATTTATTTCATAGGCTAGGCCCTACATTATACATTAACTACCAGCTGATTATAAAATGAAACTGTTCTAAACTAAACCTAACCTTAACCAATCTAGTATGTGAGTAAATAGGAGGACGTAAACTTAAGTGCAGCCAACTCGACTTATATGCGCAAAACCTTTATAAATCAAGTTAAGTATAGCTTAAGTTACATCCTGATATTGTTTACGTTCAGAAGGTTAACTGTGGAAGCAAAACAGGGCATAAACAGGGTGTCCACAGTCTGGAAAGTCATGGAAAAAAATTCTGGCCATTGAAAGTCATGGAAATAGGCAAAAAGTCAGGGAGGAAAGTCATGGAAATCCCTAATGATGGATGGATTTGAGGGAACCCCTTTTCAATGCTTTAGTTGGCCATAACCCCAACCATTTTAGCATTTTTCACAAATATGCGACAATTCAATTCATTACCTATTTAGTTATATTCGTTTATTTATGAGTTTTGAGTTTGTATTAGTTCAATACAATCTGTTGTGGTGCAAAATTCTAGAGGGGGAATAAACTAGTATTCACCTAAGTCAGGCTAGGCCTACCCCTAGAACCAGCCACACTCAAATTTCTTCCCCGGAGTGCTCAGAAGGAGCCGAGAAAAATCCAGGGGTCGATACGAAGTTGTCACGGCTTTGACTGATCAATTTATGTAAATTTAATCGAAGGCTCAGAGCTCTAGAAGCGCTCAGGAAATCGTGCAGACGCCCAGTTGGAGCTATATCATCCCAGCCTTTGTTAAAGTGTTTTGGTGAATTTTGCCTAACTTTTAGAATGACTGTAGGGCAGTCGAGTATCCAATCTTAGGCCAATTTGATATAAACACTCGTATTAAGCTGTAAACTATCTGGCTAAAGACGTTGGTAGATAATAAAATCAAATCTAATGTAAAAAGCAATTCCTACAGAGTCGTCGGGCCCAATTAATATAATCGAACGGAGAATTCATCGTGGGATGATTTAAAATAGATTTAACTTAATTGTTAGCGTAGCGGTTTGATTGTTCAAATCAGCTGCTCCCAAGACTTGATTCTTTCACCCCCCAAAGACGGGGTTTAGAACTTAGATGACAAGTCTCGGGACGATGAAAACGAGTTATAATTCAGACGTGATAATTATTTGTTAAGCGAACGGAGAAATCATAATTTCAAAACTAATTAATTAAAATTAAATAAACGATAGCCAACGCTAAGTTAGTCACTGGCAGGCAGGAACTGGCGGGTCAAGACTCGAGTTAAGATATTAAATTTAGATAATTCGAAACGGAATTTTAATAAACCGAAAAGGTATAATAAGTTAAGTATGCGTAAGATAAAACAGAAATAACGTAAAACGTAAAAAGGGGCCTAACTAGTATGGTAGCTAACTTATCCTTCGTAATAATATCGTAGTGTCGTCATCGTATTCGTAACTCGTGCGAGCTAGTCGGTGGTCAAACAGCGAATAATCTTGTCCGGCTCAAATCCCGATTTCCTCGGCCGCGGCTTAAGCGCTCCGGTGGTGATTTTGAAAACTAGCCAACAGCTGACCGGGGATTCAGTCTAGTTATCGTCTGTCATCGTCTGTCAACAAACACCAGTTTGAGGTTATGTCGTCGTTGTCAGTGCAATATATACAGGTAAAGTCGGTCGGTTACCTTTATTATGGGAAACGAAGTGCTATTATGAATAAATATGTAGTTTTGGGTGTGTTTGTGTACTTCACTGTTATTTAAAGTAGGCCTACGTTCTTTGGCCCATAGCCCAAGCTATGGCCAACACATAGGTCTAGGAGTAGGCTATTGTGGATGAAAACTGGTAAGTTATGGTGTTTGTTGATTAGCAGTACGTTTTTTACCCCCCTTAAAATTTGGTACCTCACACTGTCCCTACTTTATCATATAATTTAATTTAATATTTTGTAGGATATTGTTGCGACAGTAGTGTAGCCTATACAGTAGACCCCCTCTTAACCGACCTCGTATTAACCGATAATCGGATTATCCGCCTTCGATCGTAAAATAATACAGTTTGTTTTAACCGACTTTGCTTTGAGAGCAGCTCGGTTTAACCGCCGCTTTCTAGGAATCTCGGCATTTCCGCTCCCTTGCTGGGCGATGAGAACTGAACCATACGCTTATCTCCACAGGATATGACTAACAATAAGCTATTTTGTGTTGAGCACAAAAAATATAGCATAGCCTATTGTGTCAGTTTGTCATCATCGTTCGTAGCTCGAGCACATCTGATCTGATTTGTTATCTGTGCGGCAAATTTATAACATCATAAAGTGCGTTACGATTTTGAGAACTGATTATCTTATCGCCGGAGCAAACAAACAACGCAACTTGTAAGGAAGGCGGGGAAAGGGGGTTAACAACTCCAAGGTCAAGATAGTTTTTGTGCCTGGAGCCTCCAGTGAGAGGCTATAAATAAACGTCCTGTTTTGTAACAAAATGGTCGCTTGTATCTTTAATGTCGACAAAATTTTCTGTACTGTATTACGATGTATTTGGAAAGCATCAATTAATACATTACAGTATTAAAGTTATTAAAATAGGAATTTTATTGACTCTAGTATTATAATAATATATTCCACTGAAAGTAGGCCTAGGCCTATTAGACTTAACTGTGTTTTGTGTTTATTTGTGACTTTTCTATCAATATGAAAAAGGAGATAAGAGTAGTTTATTTGATAAATAATGCAAGTATGACTTCAAAATAACGATTATATAATTCCAAATGAATAGCACTTCATTATGTTATGATTTTAGGGATTGCCCGTTTTATCCGACCTTTTGAGTTATCCGACCTAGGTCCGGTCCCATTAGGGTCGGTTAAGAGGGGGTCTACTGTATTTAAATGTTACAACTTCATTATTACAACTCAAATTGCAATACAAATATTGTTATAATATTTTTAGTTGTCTTAAGTTAAGTCTTTTAAGCTAGATTTAAAGCTAAATTCTGTGAACTCACACTAAACTCGATAAAAAAAAAAAATAAAAAGTAGTCTTTATAGAAAGGGAAAAAGAAAGTGGATAGAGAACTTGGCCAGTTATGGGGATGGAGGAGGCTAGGTTTTCTTTTTTCTTTCCTTATTTTTAATACTGTACAAATTTTTTGCAAAATTGATTACTCCAGTGTTATATGTAAATAAATATTTCAGTATTTTCTGTGAAATAACTTGTCTAGACGGTAGGCCTATTATTCGTGTGTGAATGTTTTATAATTTTCGAGTAAAGCTCGAGAGTCATGGAAATCAATGGTAAATGGTCATGGATAGTCATGGAAAGTCATGGAAACTAAGGACACATTTTCTGTGGACACCCTGATAAAACAATTTATCGCACATACAAATAGCATAGCTACTTACTGGAATGGCCTTCTCTTGCTAAATCGGTCGTGATATAGGCCTAGGATTGTTTTAATCTTGACTCTTTTTTAACCAGGTTTAAACATATTTGTCGAAGTTTTCAAAGTTACCGTACCATTAGGCCTACATCTTTTCATTGATTAATCTACCTTCAGCCACTTTCCCTGGTTTTTCAAAATCGTCGAATAAAGTGTTAAAGGCGGAATCCCCAATCCCTGGGTGGTTTCACCTCTTTTTCTTTAACTCATTGTTAACTGCCTTAGCCTAAAATCATTCTTACTTGATACTTGATAGGCCTACTTGAAGATTTCCCACTGGAAGCGTCACTGCGCCGTGGTCGTCATAATAGTGGCCATTTTCAATCCTCTTCAAAATACTCAGTCAATGAGTAATATGGCCTCTTCAACAGATACTCCTTTAGTTGAATCTTGAATTTGTCTACATCTTCAATGTATTTAATTTCTTTTGGGATCTCGTTAACTAACCTTCCATCGGGCGCATCACCGAGGTTACTCCCAGGTTCATATATTTGCGTTCGGCAGGGCTGTTGCCTGCTGTACCTCACACACCTCTTTTGCAGAATTGGTTTAGGTTACTCTTACCCCTTTCCCAGTTGTCAGTAGACCTTGGGGAGTGTTCGCGTCACTACTGGAAGTAGCTTCCGTGTAATATACCTAGTGTAAAATAGAACGCCCTGTAATGTAACAGGTTTCCCGGAGCCTAGTTCCGTGTGCGCTCTTGTGTTGACCTTATTTTACGATATTATAAATGGATGAAGAACGAATTGCGTGATTGTCGGCTGTTTTTATTTATTATAGATTGTCCATCACATCTTTTGATGAGATACTGCGCGATTTGAGGCCACATTTAACGAAGATCAGTACACAATTCAGGAATTTAATCAGTGCTGAAGAAAGATTAACGATAACTCTAGCATCTTTCACCTTTAATTCAATCTCCAAAATCAATTTCTTCCCATTGTAGGTTGATGAAAATTCTGGAAATGTAAGTGTGTCGGGAGTAGGCCTAGTCATTTTCTGTGGGGTTGAGTCCTCATCCTAAATGATAAATCAAATATAAAAAGTGTCTTTTGCAATTTAACTTGTTAACTTAATTTATTTATTTAGATTATCATGTTTTGTACAAATAGTATTGTACATTCTCTGTGGGATCTTTCTTGTTTATTCAACTACACGACTGCTCAATTGAATATATATTAACTCAAGAGTGCTATTCAGAAAGTAAGGAACGTTTCTGTCTTACCCTGTTCCTATGCTAATCGTGTGCTTTCTAGTACAGAGATGTGTTTGCCTTGTCACTGACTATTCAGCCGTTACAGTAGAAGTGTCATTGACTCGCCGTGCTTCCCTTTAACATAATATTAAATTTTTTAAAGTGAGCTGCAATAGAATATGACCACTACTGTACTTGTGATGTGTGAGGTCTGTAAAACAATGTTTATTGGTCATTCACTTAAAACGTACTTAAATAAATGAATTGTGAATTGTATGGAAATTTTAAACTAGTAATAGAAGAAAGTCCTGTCCAGAAATGGTGCATTTAGTATCTACTTGGCAAATTGTAATTCTTAATAATTTACATGGTAGATTTTCCTTTAACCACCCAACAGTTGAGACCTTGCTTTGAGTGACTTTCCCTTGTTTGCCAAAATGAAGATTTGGTTTGCAGAATAGCGGTTTTATGGGGACAAGGAGCTCCAATTGCGTGCCACCAGATGGTTAAGTTCCTAGGCAGTTTTATGACAACATAAATCCAAAGCTTGTCCATCGCTTGATAAGTGCCTCAATCTTTTTGGAAACTATGTCTTAAAGTATATTTTAATTGCTCTTTCAAATGTAGCTATATAATTTTTTAATTATATTATTCCTTATATTTAGGCCTATATTATTTTATTTGTTATTTATTATCTTACTCAAACTTTTCATTTTATTCCATAACGTTCCATACTTTCTAAATAGCTCTCGTATTTTAACATGGCACTGTAAAGTATGTCCACGCTGTAACTTATGTCCCAATGTGCTTTTTACAGTATCAGGAAAATGATGAAGTGGTTCTTTGGATGAACACTGTTGGCCCGTACCACAACAGGCAGGAAACATATGCCTACTTTTCTTTGCCCTTTTGCATGGGCACCAAAGAAACTATTAGTCACTACCATGAGACTTTGGGGGAAGCGCTACAAGGAGTAGAGCTGGAATTCAGTGGATTGGACATTGAATACAAAGGTTTTTATTAAATTTATTGTCAAAACAATATTTGACACCAATATTCTAAGATTAGGGCCTAGGCCTATATTATAAAAATAAATCTTAGGTCTAAGATTTTTTTATTGTAATATTATTTGTTTTGGATTTCAATTAATCATCCAAATAACGTCAAACACATTCTAGTTAATTTAGTTGTGTTATAATAGTTGACTTGGTCGTGTTTTAATAGTTAACTATGGCACGCTTTGGAGTGATTTGAATTGGTGATTAGAAGGTGAGTTAGTGAACGACTTCAACTGTGCTCATGGAAGACCTGCACACCTGCTTCCCTCATAGCGAAAGTACCCTCTGTGCTTATGGGCAACCAATGTACCATAATTTGATGCCGTCACTTCCTGCTGAGTTCTATATATACCTATATTTTTGTTACTGAATAAGTATTCTGTATCAATATTCAATTTAAATTTTAAAACAATAAATTTCTCAGGTTTGCCTAAAAGATGTTTATGTTTTATTATATTTTATTTTAAAAGATGTTTTTATTTTATTATTTTTTAAAGTGTTAACAATATTTTTGTAGCCTCACTCAATCTCCTAAGTAGCCTAGGCTATATTTCTTACTGGTATCTATTGTGTTAGCCTTCAGCTGAATAACTTATCAAAGTACTCAATATCACTTAACATGTCCGTCTATCTCATCAAATATCAATGCTGAGAAAGTGTCATTAGCTAACACATAATTGCATTGTTTTTATCAACTTAAATCAAATAATAATAACTGACATGAATTTGAGCAGTTATTGTACTGACAGTCAAAGCTCTCTTGGTCACTGTTGTGTGTTTCATTATGTTCCAGCTGACATTTCAAAGACTCCGTACTGTGAAATTCAGCTAAATGATGAGAAACTTAAAGCATTTATTTATGCAGTGAAGAATCACTACTGGTATCAAATGTACATTGATGACCTTCCAATTTGGGGTAAGTAGACTTTAATAATACTACTTTACTACAATTACAACAGACACTTACTACTAGAACTTGGACAAGGTTTCTTTTATAATCATACTCCGTAGGATTGTTAAATAATCAAAATATAAACGAGAAAGTAATAGCGCAATGCACGACTGTTGTTTCCATCAGGTTACAGTATTAGAGAAAAGTACAGTAGTCCTGGAGTTCCCAGATCAAGTTCTCTCAACCAATAATTTCTTGAAGCTATGTCATAGTGCCCTGACTAGGTAATTAGAAACTCGCCTTAAGCTATTGGTTCAATACAGAAAAAATACATGTAGCCTAAAACAATCCTGAATAAGTGTACACTAAAAACAGCTTGTATTATACTTTCAAAGAGTTGTTTAGCCTCCGAATTACTGTTTTATACTTAACCCATTCGTGACTGAGTATTTATCAAGTATCATGCAGTTAGAACTGAGTAAAAAAGGGCCAATGTACAATGTTTTAGTAAAAAACTCATTGAAAATTTAATTTATGAAATAAATACCTAATACTTGTGCTTAAATTGATCTACATAAATTTTCCTTTCATATGACACTAATTTTAAATAAAAAATATTTTATAGCAATTTTCAATGTACATAAGCATTTTTATATGTGCATATCTATTTATATATATAATACGCTGAGCCGATTTTTGTGAACAGAACTCCTCCCTCATTTTTGGACCGATTTTGATGATTAAAGTGTCAAAATAATTGCCCTGATCCGTAGTTTTGCAAAGTCATTTTTGTTTTTTGATATCTTTATTAGTTTGGACAAGATCATCCATCAAAGTTGGGTTTTCTTCCATAAGATTAACATGGGGGAGTCTAAATATTTAATTGGTAACTTTGTCTTCACTAATTTGCGAGAACGGCTAGGCGTAGAAACTTGGTAGAGGTGTCCAAAGAAAGATCTTGGTCTGTAGATGAGTTATCAAAAGAAAAACTAATTAAATTAGGTTAGGGCTCTGCCCCAGAAGCCCTTAAAGATCCCTCGACAGATTTGTTTACATTTTGGTCATGTGGATAAAACGTTTTAATAAAACAGCTGTTAATTTTAAAATTGTATTTAAAACAACACACTTTTATTGGGAGTTACTGAATTGTCCAAAAGAAGTATTTGCAATGTTATTTTCTGATTTTAAAATTGATTTTCTTCTGTATCATGCCATGTGTTGAAATATAACGTCCGATTACGAAATCAGTGGAAAATCCTTTTTTCACAATAGACAATTATTTCTCATTGAACTATCTTAAATCTAATTCACGGGTTGGTGTCTTACTTTTTCACACCTTTTCCCTATAGTTTGTCATAATATTCTAAACATATCATCATGGGTTCATGAGATTATTGTCATACATGCTTTCAATCGTTGGAAAAATCTTCGATGGTGTAATACAATACAAAATAATACAAGCGCAGAAGAGCACGGTGCCCATATTTTGTTAAATTAATAGTGGTTTACAGCAACTGGATAAAACATTTTACAATATTAATGTAGAAATATGTGCATGATTTAGAAAGTCATTAAGCTGGAAAACTGCAATATACTGCAGACTTTTCAGAGAGGTTACTTCGATGTATTCATTCAGCTTAGGGAAAACATAATAATGTATAGATATGTAAGAACTTGAACTCTTAGAGAGCCTTTGAATGTTATTAGACTAACGAGAAGGGGTATAATTTCACTCAATTTATCGCAGTTAGATGAATTAGTGTAAGCCTTGAAAGTAACCGTCGATTTCGACGGGTTTCACCTATTATATAAAAAAATTTCAAGCAAACCTTGAAAAATATTTTTTAAATTTTAAATCTATTTTTTGGTCAAATCTATAGATCTATATATTTAATACGCTAGGCATATTTTTGTCATAATTGTTTTGGAGTGATGGTGCTATCGATCACCATGTTCAAGGTGTCGTTAGAAAGGTCTTAGCATGTAGTTTTGCCATCAAACAAAAAAACTTTGGAATTCCATCAGGGCTCTGCCCCAGTGGCCTTCAAAGTTCCCATGTTATTCTTAGGGAGAAAATGTTTGTTTCGGTTCTTCTGAACCATCATCAGAATCATTCATCAGAGTAACCTTCAATCAGCAACAAAGGATTAGGCCTACTATTATATGCATGTGTTGTAATCCATTTTAATTATAGTTATTCTAAAAGTATTTAATTGTTTTCTTTTTACACTGCAAACTTGATTGAGAAACCTAAAATGTTTAAATATAGATTTATACTTCGTTTTATATACTATATTTTTATAGTAAAAAATAAATTGTACTATTAACATGTTCACTGAGAACATTTTTCCCCGACTTTTAAACTTTTGATAAAACCTCTATGTTTTTTTACCACCGGAGTTACTGGTTGTGAGCCCTAAAATCCTACGTGCACCACTGGAGAACATTGTTACTATGGTTATGGTACACTTCAAAATGGCATTTTGGAGTTTCTGTAAGTGATTTTAGTGTACAGTATCTGTGTTTTTAGAAGGCTCATGAACCATATCTACAGATAGTACTAATTCAGGGTTCGTGTTAACATGAACCAAACGTGGATTTTAATAATGTAACAAAACACCAAGTTTTCAATAATGTGCTTTTATTTATTACAACACAAAACTATTTTAAATATAGGCCTAAGTAAACAATATTAGCAAACTAACACATACTTTCTCCCATTATCTTGCCAAAAACCCTTATGATAGGTAAGTGGTAGGAGTATCTATGACATATGGGTTGAATCACAAAAATTGGAAAAAGTTTTAAACCACAATTTTTACAGAATTGGGCGTCATACGGTTTTTTTAAATATAAAAAAAAACCATAACATACTCAATTTTAATCAAAACCATTCTAGCCGCTTTTTTAGAAGTCAGATTTTCCATTATTTTATGCTCTCTTATGGAAATATCTCTATTAAAAAAAAATTTTAACTAAAAAAAAATTGAAAAAACACCGGAGATACATTGAGTTAGGACCCACAAACCATAAAAATTGGACCACAGATGTGGTTTGTTGCTCTGTTCACATCCACCCATTCCCACAGATATACGACTTCAAAAACCGTTTTTTTTTTTATCCAGGGGGACCTAAGACGGATTTTCATCCAAAACTCAAACTCAAACATTTTGATGAAAACAATACTTTCTCCATATACTATGCATGGGGGAGAAATTAAAAATGAACTAAATATTGATTTGAATAAAAACTAGGTTTATAAAACAAGTCATAACCATACACCTTTGCCTTATGCATCGTCACTGTCTGAAGCCGTTTTTTTTAGACTAGCGGCCAAATCATCAACTAGCTTAAAAGATAATTGTCTGCCAGGTTACTACTCAAGCAGCTGTCATTAGAACTTAATGAAACATTGTTTTAGGCTATACTGACGCCCAAGGGTGAAGCACATTGATCAGTGTTTTTATTGATACAACGATGGGCCCACGTGCACCATGGGTGGTATAAAGTTTTAGGCTATACTGACGCCCAAGGGTGAAGCACATTGATCAGTGTTTTTATTGATACAACGATGGGCCCACGTGCACCATGGGTGGTATAAAGTTTTAGGCTATACTGACGCCCAAGGGTGAAGCACATTGATCAGTGTTTTTATTGATACAACGATGGGCCCACGTGCACCATGGGTGGTATAAAGTTTTAGGCTATACTGACGCCCAAGGGTGAAGCACATTGATCAGTGTTTTTATTGATACAACGATGGGCCCACGTGCACCATGGGTGGTATAAAGTTTTAGGCTATACTGACGCCCAAGGGTGAAGCACATTGATCAGTGTTTTTATTGATACAACGATGGGCCCACGTGCACCATGGGTGGTATAAAGTTTTAGGCTATACTGACGCCCAAGGGTGAAGCACATTGATCAGTGTTTTTATTGATACAACGATGGGCCCACGTGCACCATGGGTGGTATAAAGTTTTAGGCTATACTGACGCCCAAGGGTGAAGCACATTGATCAGTGTTTTTATTGATACAACGATGGGCCCACGTGCACCATGGGTGGTATAAAGTTTTAGGCTATACTGACGCCCAAGGGTGAAGCACATTGATCAGTGTTTTTATTGATACAACGATGGGCCCACGTGCACCATGGGTGGTATAAAGTTTTAGGCTATACTGACGCCCAAGGGTGAAGCACATTGATCAGTGTTTTTATTGATACAACGATGGGCCCACGTGCACCATGGGTGGTATAAAGTTTTAGGCTATACTGACGCCCAAGGGTGAAGCACATTGATCAGTGTTTTTATTGATACAACGATGGGCCCACGTGCACCATGGGTGGTATAAAGTTTTATTTGCATAATTCATATGTTATTTTGGTACTACATCCAATAGATTTTTCATTTCATTATTCATAAACAATTTTTTTTTTAAGTCTGTAGTATTTAGTACACATTTGTATTTACTTTTGACCGGAATTCAATTGACATTACATGGCACACGTCAGAGTGAACCTGTTAATACTTATGTTTTGAAACAGGTATTGTGGGGGAAATGGAAGAAGTGAATGGACAAATGAACTACTACATATGGACCCATAAAAAGTTTGACATTGGTTACAACGGGAAACATATAGTAGATGTTAACCTAACGTCTGAGTACAAAGTTAAGCTGGAACTTGGTGTAAGGATTCCATTCACGTATGAAGTGAACTGGAAACCTTCGTCTGTCAAGTTTGAAGATCGCTTTGACAAGTATCTTGATCCTAATTTCTTCCAACACAGGGTAACTATTTAGTCATATAAAAACAAATTTGAAGTAGATTTAGTCCAATCATGAAATTTGTGTTTTGACAACGAGCAATTGATGCAAAGTAAATTATAACATTTATCTTTACAGTAAGTTCCTTTCAGATAAGATTTGTTCTACATAATTAACTTAAAAAAAAATCAACCTTCAACCTTAAGTATTGAGAAAAATGTTTTCCCATGAATCAATATTTATTTACTTGCTGGGTTTGTTTGCCTCCCGAATGAGTTAAGTTTTAGCTTTGTAATTTTTTTACAAATTTGTGGTAGTAATTTGTTCTTGTTAAGATTGGTATTAGTGATACTTCTTTCCTTTCAAGAGATTGGAGGTTTCTCATTACCATATATTTGCCGTCCACATAGCCTGCAAGCTGTTGAACAAGAATGATCAGTAGTTCAACTAATAATAATCTTTTAGCAGCAATACTAGAACACAAACCCTTGGTGTGCTGCTGACTGAATCAATAGATAATCATGACGATGTTTCAGTTATTTGTTCTGGTTTACAGATACATTGGTTCAGCATATTCAACAGTTTCATGATGGTTATATTCCTGGTGGGGTTAGTGTCCATGATACTTATGAGGACTCTCAGGAAGGACTATGCTCGTTACAGCAAGGACGAAGAGCTGGACGATATGGTATGTTATAACACTTAACCAAAGATTCCATAGGGATATTATTTTTGTTTCTTTGCTATGTAATATTTATTTTCTTTTGACAATTGTTTATGTCAGTATTTTCAATTGTAAATTATATAGTTAGTTGTAACTATTAGGTTAAATTAACTATTAACTATTATTAAGTAACTATTAGGTTTAATGCAGTAGATGATGATATTCATAATCAAGTGCAAGACTGAATCTTTATGAAATGTTCAGCGTTGCAAATTGTACATGATGTCAACAACCTTTCCAACAATTCAAATTTTGTTATTGACAATATTGTTAAGTAGGCTGACTTGAATTGTTGGAATTAACCCAAAAAAGTATGTTATAAAAAATGCTTAAAATATTTAGCCAATAAAAGTACCATACTTAATCACCAAAGAAGAATTTTTACAAGATGATTCTGTAGGCTGAATTAAAAGTTAAGACAGTTTTGATAATTTGTATTTAAGGCCTATAAGAAAAAGTTCAAGTAAAAACATTTAATTACTTTTTTGCTGTACTATTCCTTATAAACTAGGAAATTCTACACCATGTGAAAATTACAGTTTTTGTAGTTATACAGCAACATGCATACATTTACATTTTCTTCTCCTCTCTGTCTTGTTTTTTTGTACCCTAGTGCATGCCAGAGCTGAACAATCCTTTCATTTCAGTGGGTAAGTTATATCTCTGATCAATTACAAATGGGGCTTAACACTGGTAACAATAATATTACTTCATTAGCCTATATAATAAAAGCTAAAGGGTGCGCCAAAAAAACCTGACAATTTCTGTTTTGTAATAAGTCAGCTGTTATACAAGCTAGAGACCTCATTGTTGTAGTCAACGATTGCTTATGTTATGCCATTTTTAGGTTATGTTTGGTAAAACATCACTTCGTCGAAAGAAAGTTACTGTCTAGTGTGTTAGGCACGGTTTGGAGTCATATGTTTTTAAGGACAAACGTGGGAACACCCCCCTGTCACTGTAAACTCGGAACGCTATTTGGAAATACTGAGGGGTTTTTGGTTCCACAACTGTGAATGTTAGGAGGGATAGACATGACCAACACATGGGTTCAAACAGGACGGCGTAATTTGTCATACAGCCAATTATTCAATGACAGTTTTGCGTGAACTCTTTCCCGGTAAAATGACCTCTTGGTTTGGTGATATTCTGTTGTCAGCTCGATCCTCAGACTTAATTTCATGTTACTGTTGGCTATGGGGATACCTACATAAAAAGCAAAGTGTTTGTTTCAAAACTTCGAACCATCCCTGGACTCAAGCAGTGTATCCGGGAAGAGATTGCTTCTATTCATCAGGCGTAGGTGACTGCAAATATGCAAAAAAATCTGAAGCCTGCGTTTAGGAGAAGGTCATCACCTAAGTGATATAATTTTTCATAAATGAAAATGGCATAGTAGTGTGTACAATATAACATTGTTTAATACATACAATTGTATTTTGTTCTTGAGTTATATAGTATTCAAAATCGTCAGGTTATTTTGGCGCAACCCTTATAATATGCTGAGAATAACACTTAAGTTATGTTACACTCACCAACTAATTATTTTAAAAGATCGCTGTGGACAATTCTTAAACCTTAACCAATTCTAAATATAATTACATTACCATACAAGGTTATTATAAAGTTTAGGGGTTGCTCATCAATTTTTTGAGCGGAGCGAGCGAAGCTCTTATACGTCGACTCTTATGCATTTCGTAATATGCAAACTCCTCCTTGACGGCTAAATCAATCGTTTTCAAATTTGGCATGGTGATAAAGACCATATCGGTGAGTGCCAACATCTATATGGCGTTAAAAATGTCTCTCAGAAATCCGCCCCACTGGGTCTAAAAGTTTCAATGTAATCCTTATGGAAGCAGTATTTGACACATAAACAAAGAAATATGATCAGCTGTCGACTTTTGAATGCAGTAGATAAAGAAATAGTTAATAGCATTATTTCACAGATATTAGAACAGAAACGCTATGAATCATAAATATAATCAAATGACAACACTAGCTTGAGGTCCGTGACGTAGGAAGTGGTGAAGGAAGTAGTAAAGGTGAGCAGTCTGGAGTGTGGAAACTGTTTATGACGATAATATTAAGGTATCTGCATTCCTAAAATTATTTTGGAAGGGAGGAAAACAGGTCCACGACGTAGGAAGTGGTGAAGGAAGTAGTAAAGGCGAGCTTTTCGGGGTATAAGATCTGTTTATGACGATTAGATAAGGTATTTGCAATCCTATGATGCTTTGGGAAGGGAGGGAAACAGGTCCGCGACGTAGGAAGTGGTGAAGGAATTAGTCAAGGCAAGCTGTCCGGAGTGTGGGAACTGTTTATGACGATTAGATTAATGTAGTGATGTGTCAAAACCGAATCTCAAATCTCAAAACCATCAAAACTTAGGAAAAGTTTCGGTTTCGAGATTCGATCACCAAGTTTCGAGGTTCAAAAGTTTCGAAATTGAAGATTTTGGCAGTTTTATTTTTTGAACTGCTGACATTTTTTTGTGCCATTGTTATTGTTTTCAATGTTGTTTTCAAACATGCTGGTAGAAACAGAGCAAACATCACCATTAACAGTAATGAAACAAGTACATTTTATTCTTAACTTCAAAAGGTATCTTAAATACTATAACTGGTACAATTCAGTTTCACATTAATATTTACTAAACACAAAGAAATATTGACCACTAAATGTTCTAATTAATCTAATATTCGTGTTTATGTTGGTGTTAGATAATTAAATTTTTTTGGTTGTTTATGAAAAATTATGTTGTATTGGGTTGTAAGATTATCAGTCACATTCACATATTTATGTTATGTCATGGTCAGAAGTTGATCTCTTTCAGTTTTGATTGCATACTTAACATTTTATGATTATGTGTATTTTTTTGTAACCTTGACCTTTGTAACCAGCTAAGTAAAAAAGTTTCACGTTAATGTTTTGACCACCAAAGACAGTGATGATGTTTCCGTTACTCAGGAAGATATTCCGGATTTTACAGAGATTCTAGAAGTCGATGATGATTTCCCCTCGACCGCAGATAATCACGCTATTACCTCTAGTTTGGCTTGACTGAAAATATCAGGCTGGCACACCTCTTAATTACTATAATAAAATTGTTTTTTTTATTTTTTTGTTTTTTTATAAATTTTTTTTTATACATCTTGATTTATTGTTGATATGGTATAGTTATGTAATGTGTGAAGAAGGGTTTAATAGCTATCCAATTATAAGATATGAGACCCCACGAACTGTTCAGCTAATTCAGGGCTTCATGGTGACTATTGTAGAAAGCCATTTAACGATGTATTTTTATCGTTATTTTATGTTGTTTCTCTCTGACTAAACTGAAACAGCTGTCGTGAGGTTGCAAATGAAAAATTAATTTTTTAACGTATGTTTTGGTTTTTTTACTTTCTCGGCTATACCATAGTATATGGAGAAAGTATTGTTTTTGTCAAACATTTTCGAATTTGAGTTTTGAGTGGATATATCCGTTTTGGGTCCCCCTGGACCCAAAAAAGTTGTTTTCGAAGTGATGTCTGTGTGTCTGGATGTGTACAGAGCTAGGAACTACACCTATGGTCCGATTTCGATGAAATTTGGTGTGTAGGTTCTAAACCATGGTATCTCCAGGCGTTTTTTAAAATTTTTTTGAAATTTTGATTTTCAATCTTAAATGGCCCGAACGATTTTGATATAAATTTAGTAAGTTGCAGCCCTTTAATTTCTGAACAAAATGGTACGACTCTTATTTCTGTAAAAATTACGGTTCAAAAGTTATAGAAAATTACGTTATTTCCCTTAAAAACCCCATAAAACAAAAAAAAGGATTTTAGAAAAAAAAACTGGTTTTGATTTTACTTAGTATGTTATGGTCCTTAATTTTAATTTTGAACCCTCCGAGTGTTATGTGTCGTAAAAGCGACTCATAACACATCCGCTGTAGTGTTATGTGTCGCTTATGCGACTCACAAACACTGTTACGGCGAAGGCTCTGGGACTGACTGAATCGGATTGAACTGGATCGAGTTAGGTATCGTTTTTTTCAGCAGATTAAGAGCTTTCTCCTGATGTCTGTTTCTATACGCTTTTCATTTTAGTTCCGAAAATATTGTAGCAGACAGCTGACGTGCGTATTTTTTAAAAAGCTTGGTTAACCTCGCACCGATGACTGATGTGTTTTATTACGTTTATCATTGTTTTAGTGTTAAAAATCAAACCCCAAAAATAAGATCCCACGTTAGTGATATACGTGGTGCATTATAAGAAGATTTAAGTCAGTGATTTTGAAGGGCTGGTTGATGATCCTGAAGAAGAATGTAGCGATATTGATGTAAATTATCAGCCAGATTCCTAGCTATGGTTAGGCTATGCATTCTTAGCTAAACGCTATGTACCAAAATCTGTTTTTTGCCCATAACTTATTTATTTGAAAACCTACTTCCTTATATTATTATATTTTTGGAATCCTCATAAAATTCTGAACAAAGTGGCTATTTTAAGATATTTTTAGACCTATAAATTATAACAATTTATTGAGCGCAAACATACATTTTTTTAATTTTTTTATAATTTTTGAGAAATGTTAACCCCACATAAATTGTTGAACATTTTTTTTATGTTTTATATGTTACATTGAAGCCCATAATTTTCCAAACAAAATTATATATAAAACAGTATACTTTACATTGTTTTTAAGTTTCTAAGATACATTTTAATAAAACCCTGCGATTGCGCAATAAATGGGCGAACATTAAGACCAAAACTAGAGACACTTGGAGGGTTAATGGGGATTTTCCCATAAAACCCCATGAAAAAACAAAAAAATCAGATTTTCTCAAAAATGGCCTGAATGATTTTCTTAAAAACTTAGTATGTTATAGTCCTTTAAATTCTGAACAAAATGATACAAATCCGATTTCCGTAAAACTACAGTTCAAAAGTTATTGTAACTTATGTTGTTTTCCCAT